GTTAGGGGCACAGTCTCACGGTCTAAAAAAAAAGAAAAACAAACGGTTTGACATACCTGCCAATCGTCCATGCGTTTCTTTTTGATGTTTGCTTGAGTTTTGGACCCTGTAATTAAAATTAGATACTACAAACCTACGACGTACATCTTACAACCCCAATTGTATAAACTTTTAATGATAGTTACAGTTTCATCGGTCAAAATCATTTCTTAACACATCCCAGGCCCCTTCCGTAAAATGAATCGTCGAATGAAGTATCTTAAATGGAATACACCTAAAAGTCTGACTAGGATTCTAGCATTTAATATGAGTGTAGCGTATGACCTTCAAATTTTAGAGTCGATTTTGCAGTGTAGGATCCCCGACAGTTGCCCAGGTAGGCTCCGCCACGGTGTCGCGTCAACGGGTACGGACTAGACATAGTTTTGGACCGTGTCATAGTACACGTGTACGATGAGTCAGCACCGTAACGGAGTTGACTAACATCCGTTAGATTGACTCCGATTTTTGCACGTTGTATCAAGTATATGTATGAGTTCAAATTTTATTGAAGTTTAGGTTGTAAAATACCCTACAAAATTGTCCAGGTATGAAAATCCACGGCGCATATAGTACGGGTATGAAAATCTCCTTTTCCCGGCTACTGCCTACTGGCTAGAAGTCTATAAGTAAAATAATTTGCTCGAAGTAGATCAAGAGATCACAATACTGAAGCTCATCTTCGGAGCATGTTCAACCAAAATTGTGTTGCTGATTTTTAAACGAGGATATGAAGAAGATAGAACGTTTTTAAAAAATGTTAATAGTCAAACTTATAAATACCTATTATTGTTATTAGGGTGTATATATAAAAAATGACTACGAATAAGAAAATGTTTATTTTAAAAATGTTAGACATCTCATCAATTAACATTTTTATACACCATGTTAATTTACATTTTTTGAATTATTATTAGTTTCTATATTGAAATACTTATGAAAAGGAAAAAAAATATATATATATATATGTAAAAAAAAAAAAAGGTTAACTTTTTTAAAATAACATATGGAAATAACAAAAAGAATTTTGCTATACTATATAAAAGTCGAGGCTATAAACTCCTGAGGCCGTCCACGTAAGCTTTTAAACCACCAATCGCGGTTAGACATCTCATCAATTAACATTTTTATACACCATGTTAATTTACATTTTTTGAATTATTATTAGTTTCTATATTGAAATACTTATGAAAAGGAAAAAAAACAATATATATATATATATATATGTAAAAAATAAAAATGTTAACTTTTTAAAAATAACATATGGAAATAACAAAATTTTTTTGCTAAATTTCAATGCTAGACTTTCTCACGAACGTAATTATATGTTAATATGGTTCTGAGATTAAATGTTATATTCCAAACACAATGAAATGTTAAATCGTCCATGTATGTTAAATCACGTTCATCATATACACGAATATTTGTATCAAGAAAATCTCAATTTAAAAAGGTAAAACTTTCGGAGATAATTATGATGGTCTACCCTAAATATTAAGCTATAAATATAGGGTCTCGGTCACACCAATATCAATCGGATTTGTCATCTATAAATATATAGTTCTGATATTATGGTTTGCTTTATATTACTTTGGTTATTATATGAATCGAATTTCTTATCATGCGTTATGATTTTTTACTTCCTGTTGGGGTTATATTTGTATTGTTATTTTGTTGTTCAACGGATGAATATCGATATTTTCTTTGCTGATTTGTATCGTTTTAATTGTGTTTTAGGTAACCGCTCAAGGGAGTTTCTATCAAAAGATTGAATGAACGAGTTGATGAAGACATGCCTCTTCAATTAAATTCATAAACAAACTTTTTACATCAATCGTTAGTCCTTTTTAACTTAGTTAGTGCCTCTTCATAATTTACTTTCAATTTTATAATTTTGTGTTGGATATTGATTATTGGTAGTCTCTCATCGCGTCTAATGTTTTGTGTGTGTTTTTTTTGGATTCGGTTAAAATTTTCAATTTATGATGAAGAAAAAGAGGTTAGTTTTCAAACTTAACAGTTTCATATAATAGAACCTATCAGAAACGCCAAGATCGATGAGTCGTAGTATACATCTTTGGTAGTGGTTATGTTTTGGTTTTTTAGCGTTTTTTTTTTTTTAATTCTGTATTTTTTTTCTGATGATCAAATTGATTACAGTTTCATAAAAATAATTAATGGTCTTTACATTCAATCTCAAATTGGATGTGTGGAAGTTAATGTATGAATCGATGTGGAGAAAGTCACAACAGAGGTGCAAGTAATTTTGTGTATTTTATGTGTCAAATTACCTTATGAGTCTATAATTTACATTATTACAATATTTTTTTTTCATGGATCAAAGTCTAGGATAAAAAGTTGAATCTCATCCTTAGAGGAGGTAAGCTTTTATCTAACCCCTACTATCTTTTGAATTTCAGTTTTAGGCGACTAAAAGATTGAACGTAAAATGGAGAGGTAATCTTATATTTTTTGTTTGCCATTAACCTATTTTGACTTTAAATTATATATTTTACTAGGTTAGGACCCGCTCGATGTGCGGGTTTTAAATCTTTTAAATAAAATTAAATTTAATAAAAAGATATATTAAATTTTTGTTGTGAATAGAAACTATATTTAAAAGAAGAAGATAATTTTTTATTAGAGAGAAAATTTGTTTATATATTTATCTTTTTGTCTTTATATAATAAGATATATACATATAATTTCTTATGATTTTTTAAAAATAAATAAAAGAAAATTTTTCTTTACACATGTTAAAATCTGCCATGAGCGTATAGTTTCCTTATAATTGTTAAAATAAATAAAAGGAAAATTTCGTTTTACACGGGTCAAGATCTTAGATCGATAAATTTAACACATGACACGATCATGTGAGTTACTAACTTTGAAAATCATATTTTATATAATAAGATTAGGGTTTTGATTTTTATATTAAGATATGGTAAAGTAATTAAATTCGATTGCATCTTCAATATCCGGTCGTAAGCTATAGCTATTGTCGACTTCTATTGTGTTTTTTTTTTCTTCATGTTGTTTGTTTTGTATTTAATAATTTCTTGGTGTGTTAGTAGGGGCGTTATTCAATCAGTTGAAGGAGAATAGGAGATGGTCTAATATACTCGAAAATCGATGAGTATCACTTCAAGCAGCTTTGATCTATCTGATAGTCATCTAGAGTTTGGTTAATCCGTAGATAGAGTCATTAGTATCGTTTGGTGATTTGAAAGATGTTTCAATACCAAGAACCTAGGATCACGTCTGATTCAATTCCTTTAGTATCATGCTTTTAAAGGTTTCTATAAATATGTGAATGTGAGTATAAGAACTTTTTAGTTTTAGTTTAAATGAAAAGGAAAATACTACTAAAAGATGAAGAAAAATATGACTAAAACAAAAAGAAAAAATATTCAACTAACTACAAAAATAAAAATAATTTAATGATGGTCGAAAAAACTTTTAGTTTAAAACAAAAGAAAAAAATTCTACTCAGCAGGAAACTATAAAAGTTTCTAA